AATGGGCAACTAATGCCATTATGATGCGGAAGGAATCCTTTTTAGAAACTGAAGAAATCATTTCTTTATAATCTATCCTTTCCCTTCGAGTGAACCTTGGCAACAAGCCTAGCTCTGTATCTCTCAATGTTGCCTAATGAATCCCTTTTGGTTTTAAATACCCATTTACAACCAATAGGTTTTTTTCCAGTAGGCAACTCAACAAGGTCCCAACTTTATTATTCGTCATAAAATTCATCTCGTCAATCTTGGCATTATACCACAACTGAGATTTATTATTGTCCATAACTTGTAAAAACGTCTCTAGGTCATCCTCAACACCTATGTCACAGTCAAACTCTTGCATATACACTACATAATAAGTAGGAATTGTTGATTTCTTTGTTCTAGTAGATCTCCTTAATGTTGTATCAACAGTCTCTTGTTGAGACTGTTGCACAACTGGTTGTTCCTCCTGTAGCGGAGGTTGTTCAAAATGATCTTCTAAAACAATCTCATCAGAACGTGGACTTTGATTGATTGGTTCCTCATTGTTCACCCTGTTTGGATGAACAACCAATCTTTTAATTGATGTAGGAGCATTAGCTTAAACATAAATTTTCTCAAGGACTAAGTCTTTGATTTGATCACTCCCACTAATCACGTCATTTTACAAAAATTTGGCATTTCTTGATTCAACAATTCTACTGGAATGGTTCGGACAATAAAACTTATCTTCCTTGGATTTTTCCGCATATCCAATAAAATATGCACTAATAGTCCTAGGATCTAACTTTCGTTCTTGTGGATGATAAACTCTAACTTCAACTGAGCAACCCTAGACGCGTAAATGACTTAAACTTGGTTTCCAACCTTTCCATAACTCGAATGACGTTTTGGGAACTGCCTTAGTTGGAACTCGGTTTAATATATACGCTATAGTTTTGAAAACTTCAATCTACAAAGAATGAGGAAGTTTGGAGTTACTCAGCATACTCCGTACCATATCCATTAATATTCTGTTTCTCCGTTCTACTACACCATTCTGAGATGGTGTGCCAAGCAAGGTGTATTGAGCCGCAATACCTTGCTCTTGAAGAAATTTAGCAAATAGACCAAGTGTTTGTCCTGTACCAGTGTATCTACCATAATATTCACCACCTCTATCAGATCCCACGATCTTAATTTTTTTCCACATTGTTTCTCTACTTCTACTTTATATATTTTGAAAGCATCCAACGCTTCATCCTTGTAATAAAGCAAATAGAGATACATATATCATGAGTGATCATCAATAAAGGCGATGAAGTATTTCTGACCACTGGAGCTCACGTCAGGGCAACAAATACATGTGTGTATGATATCTAAAAGTTCAGAACTCTTCCTAGCACCCTTCTTGGATTTGTTAGTCTGCTTTCCCTTAATGCAGTCTACAAAAGTATCAAAGTCAGTAAAGTCAAGAGTTTCAAGAACTCCAACATTTACCAACCTTTTAATCCTATCAATGGAGATGTATCCTAATCTCCTATGCCACATAAAAGAAAAGTTTTCATTCATAACAATACGTTTAATACCAGTACTAGCATGTGAAGTCATAAGACTATAAGGAAAATATTTTTTTAATATCATTCTAAATTAAATCCAAACTTCAATAGAATATTTATAGAAATCTTATAATTTATAAATAAAAAAGGTAAAAAAAATTCCAATTGATGGATTGCATTTTGTTTGATCAACTGGATAATTTTGGATTCAGTAGAAAACCAGCTCAAAACTCAAACCGAAAAGCACCTGAAGGCATAAGGTGGATTTACATTTTTAACCTTCAGGATGCTAAGTGAACAGTTTTCAAAATCATGAAAGTTGTTTATGAAATTTGTCAAAACATTTCTCTTTAATCAGTTTAATGCATTTGCATTTTGCAACAAACATGCAGTTACACAACCTCAAAAAACACTCTTCATACATGGCTTTGAGATCCATATTTCGTTCGTCTTCAATCTCTCAAAACCCATCTCTAAAAGTTAATGTTTTATTTTTGTTAGCTCACGTACACAATCTCACGTCTTTAAGCTCCAAAAATGAAGTTTTGTATTCTTTGGAAAAACCCCTGGAACGATCCTCACTTGCTAAATTCCTCAAAGAAAATTGTCGATCAGGTAGCTTTACTCTGAATTAATCTTTTTACTTTTTTTATTACATGATTAATATGAAACCCATTTCTCCAATTTCATCATTCACTACTTTGTTTAGTGCACTAGCTAAGAAGAAGCATTATTATGAAGTGTTTTCGCTTTACAAGCTGTTGAATTCAACTAGGTTGTCCCCAGATTTTATATCTTTGAATATTTTGATGAATTGCTTCTGTACTATTGAAAGGGTTTCTGATGTTTATGCGGTTTTTGGGGCGATTATGAAGTTGGGTTTTAGCCTAAATACCAAGACATTTACTTGTTTGATTAATGGTCTGTGTGTACAGAGAAAGATTATGGAACCAATGGAATTGTTTAAGAAAATGATTGTTGTTGGTTGTAGGCCTAATGTGATCACTTGCAACACTTTGATTGGTGAATTGTGTAAAACAGAGAAAATAAGTGTTGCCATTAAGTTTCATGAAGAGATGGTAATGGGAATAAAGAATTTGGTGTTATTATATATTGTTGCAACTGATCAACCTATTAATATGGTTGAAGATAAATATTTTGAAAGATTTATTAAAAATTCATTTTTTCCAAGATTTAAAAGTTATTCTAAAACTGCAACTATAAATGATTTAATAAAATTGTTTGGGAAAATGAAATTAGAATTAAAAAATAAAATATATAGTTGTCAGTTAATGTGGTTCTAACTGCCAATATTTGGAGTGGTAGAGCTAAACAATATTATATTTCTGTGACTAGTCATTATTTTGATAACGAATGTAAAATAAATAAATCTTTATTGGGATTTAGATTAATGGATGTGGACCATAGTAGTCAACAAATTTATAATAAAATTGTTGAAGTTTTAAAAGATTATGATGTTGTTCATAAAGTGATAAGTTTAACTTTAGATAATGCAAGTGCTAATAGTAGAGCTATAGATTTTTTTTAAATTAATTTTTCTTTTTATGACAATTTGAAGTTTTTTCACCAACGCTGTGCATGTCACGTTATTAATCTAATTGTGAAAAGTGGTATGAACAAAATTAGAAATAATATTGATAAAATTATGGATTCTTTGGCTTCGATTACTAGTAGTAATAAAAGAAATGCTGAATTTCAAGATGCTTGTATAAAATCAAATATGTATCCTAAAACTTTTGCATTAGACATGCATGTTAGATGAAATAGTACTTATTTAATGCTTCATTCATGTTTACCTTATGCAAATTTAATTAGTTATTTTGTAGCAAATAATAGAGGTCATCATTATTTGGTAGAAGAAAAAAACTCATGTTTTTCTTAAATTTTTTTACCAATCTACTTTACAACTTTCTGGTGTGTATTATCCTACTAGTCCATTGGTAATACATACAATTATAAAAATTTCAGATTTATTTAGAAAAAAAAAAAACAATGAAATTTTAGCAGGACCAATACAAGCAATGAAATTAAAATTTAAAAAATATTGGAAACCCATTCTTTTTCTTTATTGTTTAGTTGCTATATTTGATCATAGAATTAAATTAGTACGTTTAGAAAATGGTTTAGACACATTAACTAAAAATTTAGAAGACGAAGCATATGCCAATCGACTAGGAGAGGTAAGAGAGTGCCTTGTAGAAGTATATTTACAATATGAAAACAGTATGAGAACCAGCAAAGAGGCAAAATAGCCAAGGAAGTAGCATCAGAAGAAACAAATGAAGACTTCGACTCCTGGAGTGCACTTAATAGGCCAAAGAGGACCCGAAGCACAATCTCCTTTTCAGAAGCATCAACAACGAATGTATTGTCCTCCATGCAGCTACAGAGTAATGAGCTTCACCAATATTTGGGAACCCCCGACATGTTACCAGTAGATCCACAACAAAGAGTCAACTTCAATGTCTTAGAATATTGGAAAACCAGAAATGTATTTTTCCGGTATTATCAAGACTTGCCCTGGATGTTTTCTCTGTTCCTATCTCAACCTTCTCATCCGAACAAACATTTAGTGCAAGTGAAAGAATTTTAAATGAAAGAAGGACTAAACTTTTGCCAAAAATGATTGAAGTCTTCACATGTCGTTGAGATTGGGAAATGTCGCGCCATCAGGATCAATACGAGGTTGTCGACGATACTTTAATAGAATCATTTCAATTTTGTAATATAAATTATACGGATGAGGGAGGTCCTAGTCAACCCCCAAATTAGTTGTTTTGTAAATTGTAACTTGTAAATTAATTGTCAATTATTGCACTCTTTTTTCCTTATCAAGTTTTTGTCCCAATTAGGTTTTTCTTGGTAAGGTTTTTAATGAGGCAATAATTGTTGTAATTTCTTATTTCTTATTTTGTTTTTTGTTAAATGAATAAATCTGATTTTTCTTATATTACAATTTCATTGTATTAAAGTTGAATTAATATTTGAAATGTTAATAAAAAAAAAATTTAATTTAATTGAATTATTGATATTTGAAAAATTAACTAAAAAATTTACACAAAAGAAAAAAACAAAAAAGTTAAAAATAAAAATTAAAAAAATTATGGACTAGCCCGGCTCGGCCCACACCAAAACCCGCTGGGTTAGGGTTGACGGGCCGGACTGGACCAACATGTTTGGCCAAGAGGCAGGCCGGGTTTTGTTGGCGGGTCGGGCTATTTCCATAACCTGCTGTGGGTTGGGTCGGGTCATGCCGTGCCAGGCCGGAGGGGTTATTTTCCACCTCTAGCTGCATCATGGCAGCCAATATGACATTTGTCATGTCATATGATGTATATGTCATAAATCTGCTATATCACTCCCCCAAATTAAAAATGAAAATAAAAAAATAAATAAAAACATTTTCGTTCACCCTAAATCTAAATACAAACATAAAAGCTCTTCCCAAATGTCATTTCAATTTTTGGAACGACATTCGCCGACGCAGCCGCTCCAGGACGCTGCCCTACACCCATCACGGTCGCCCATCTCAGCCGCAACACAGCCCACAAAAACATCTTCATACATGGCGAGATCCCCATTCGTTCGTCTTCAATCTCTCAAAACCCATCTCTGAAAGTTAATGTTTTATTTTTGTTAGCACACTTACACAACCTCACAACTTCAAGCTCCAAAAATGAAGTTTTGTATTCTTTCGAAAAACCCCTTGAACGATCCTCACTTGCTAAATTCCTCAAAGAAATTTGTCGATCAGGTAACTTTACTCTGAATGAAGCATTGTACTTTTTTTATTACATGATTAAGTCGCAACCCATTTCTCGAATTTCATCATTCACTACTTTGTTTAGTGCATTAGCTAAGAAGAAGCATTACTATGAAGTGATTTCACTTTATAAGCAGTTGAATTCAACTGGGTTGCCTCCAGATTTAATGTCTTTGAACATTTTGATAGATTGCTTGGGTAATATTAAAAGGTTTTCAGATAGTTTTGCGGTTTTTGGGGCGATTTTGAAGAAGGTTTTCACCCCAAATGCAATTGTTTGATTAAAGGTCTGTGTGTAGAGAGAAAGATTATGGAGTCGATGGAATTGTTTAAGAAAATGGTTGCTGTTGGTTGTAGGCCTAATGTGGTTACTTATGGGTCTTTGTTTGATGGATTGTGTAAAACGGGGAAGATAAGTGTTGCTATTAAGTTGCATGAAGAGATGGTTAATGGGAATGGAGGATTTGGTGTTATTTGTAGGCCAAATGTTGTTAGTTATAATATTATAATTGATGGCCTTTGTAAGGCTGGATTGATTGAGAAGGGTAAGAGTTTATTTACTGAGATGATTCAAAGAGGTGTGGATCCCGACGTTTATACCTACAGCATTTTAATAAATGGTTTTTGCTTGGCAGACAGAATTGGTGATGCAAGGGCATTGTTCGATTTTATAACTAGGAAGGGGTATAGAGCTGATGTTGTTTGCTACACTATTTTAATCAATTGGTATGGCAAGAATAAAGAAGTCAAAAGAGCTCTTTATCTTTATCGAGAGATGATTTTAGAAGGAATTAGGCCTGATGTGATTACATATAGCACCTTGTTAACTGGCCTTTTTCTTAAAGGTAATGTAAAAGATGCACGAAATTTAGTTGGCGAGATGCGACTTAACGGTGTTTTTCCTAATTCCTGGACATATAACATTTTCATTGATGGACTTTGCAAGAATGGATGTGTTTTGGAAGCGATGGAATTGTTTAATACTCTAGTAAATAATAAGTTTGTAGTTGGCCTTGAAGGTTTGAGTTCCCTCATTGATGGATTATGTAAAACAGGGAGATTTGAAACTGCTTGGGACCTATTTCAGAAATTTTGTCTTCATGGAAACCTAGTGCCAAACGTTGTAATGTATACCATTTTGATCAATGGGCTGTGTAAAATTGGGCAACTAAAAAAGGCAAATGAGTTGCTGTCACATATGGAGGAAAAAGGTTGTGCTCCAGATGTAGTCACATTTAATACGCTCATGTTCGGTTTCCTCAAGAATAATGAGATACCAAAAGTTGTTGAACTCCTTCATAAGATGGCTGAGAGAAACCGAATGTACAATGTCCTTAGTCATGCAGTTACTAATGAATGCCAAAATTTATCGTGAATGTTTGAACCAGCTTCCTCAATTTCTGGTCCAAAAGTGAAATTGAAGCTTATGTGATAAAATGATAGGAACCAACTACAATAACTCAACAATTGGGCTGGGTAGTAGGCCTTTTGTGGGCTTGGGTAAAACTCTCCTTGGAAAATCGGCTTGCCAAGGGAGGGTGCCCAAGCCCTCTATAACCCACATGCCCACCCTTTTCCCCTTCCAATGTGGGATCCTAACATAAGATTTTTGTGAGTATTAAACTTCTTTCAGAGGAGAATCCTGCAAAAGTTCATCTAGCTGCGCAAATGCTCTATTTTGGTTATGGTAAGAAGAAGGTTCAGTAAGCACTTTCATCTGTTAGAATTTGATAGGGATAGTGATGGGGGATGATTGAGAATGATGGCTTCCCCGATCAGACATATGATACGTGATCTGTCTCTGTTGTAAGTGCATAAAGTGGAGGTGGCAGCATTGCAGGCTGCACCAGCATTTGCACATGAAGTAGGTCTTAAGGGTTTAAGGATTAAAGGATTTTTTCTGGTGCAAATTTCGGTAAGCAAAAGTTGTATATGAGAAATTGTGGAATGCTTCTACTTTAACTACGACAATAATGGTAGCCGCTCAAGTTCATCTATTCAACCTGATCGGTTTACTGGACAATGGTATGTTGCAACCTATTAACTTCATTCATTGATATTCTTAAATATCCAGGCCTGATAAATCTTAATTTATTTATAGTGTTTCACATTTTTTTTCTCAATATATATTCTTTTTAGTTCAAATCTGATAAGACTAGAACTTACCAGGTGTGTCTCTAATGATAGTTGATGAAGACAAAGCAAGAAGAACATTAGAGAAGGTTTTAAACTTTAATGTCTCAAAGAATATGGATGCACAGCAGGGGCCGGTTAATGGGATCTACCTGTTGGAACAGTTGACATGACAACATTGCAGTCAAGAGAAATATGGTCTGGTGTTACATATGCAGTTGTTGTAACGATGATTCATGGAGATTTGGTCGATATGGGATTTCAAATTGCCATTGAAATCTATGACGCAGCATGGTCTGAAAATGGACTCGAGTAAGATCCCCCTAAGCTTATCAAACAGTGTTATCTTATGGCTTAGTTATAGGCTGTTAACTAAGCTGAGTCTGTGTTTTTTAGATCTGTATAGATTTTATTGCTGCATCTGTTTTGTCAGTTCATTTAATTTGTTTTTGGTGGATGTGTTGTCTAACCGTTTTCTAGTAGAATCTTGATGCTGTGAAATGTTGGACAAATCTCCGGTAGTTATAATGTCTAGTAGATAATATTTTTGCTCCTTAGGTGATTGAGGAGGAGAAGAATAACATAGATAGATAATATAGGATTCTATATAGGGAGATAGAGAGAAATTAATAGGTTAAGAGCAGAAATCAAGAAGGGGATACCAGGGACTCAAACTCAATCCCAAAATATAGAAGATAAGGACTAAATACCGATTTGCATCCTTCTTTTATTTACTTTGAAATACTCAGTCTTATAGATGCTAAAGTTCTTTCTGAATGGTTGATCATGATCCTTTTCCTGTAAGCACACCCAATTGCTTTGGGTGATGATGATTTCTGTAGGTGTTATTAATCAAATTCAGGAGAAGAACGTAATTATTATTGCTGTTGATAGTCTCATATTGGTATATTTTATGATTTTCTCAAACTGCGTTATTTACTTAGAAACAATGGCCATTAGTTAACTAGTGCTAGTTTCCAACTATACTCCTGAAAGTAAGGGCTTCAAAATACATTATCTAGAGTGAATGACGCAGATGTATCTTGTGCTCAGAGTTTTCAAGAGGAGACAGGAAAAGCTACACATGAAACTTAAAAGAGGAAGTTTTCTCCTGTATCTTAAAATGCTTTAGTCTTGTAGCTAAATCATTCCAAAATTTGTTGCTAAGTCTAACCATAGCATGGATAGAAGGTATGTAAATTAAATCCAAGAGCTGCTTGAACACTCAAAGGTATTGATTCTCTTTTAGCGACACCATGAAATATTTTTGAACTTCAGTGTAAATAATTTGACTAATGAAAGAGGTTTTTCTCTTTTTTTTTTTTTTTCCTTCCTAACTTGTATGCATGTCATGTAAAATATTCTGAGCTCCTTATAATTGTTTTAGCCTAAGGAATTAAGAGCTGATTCATTGACATGATTTTGGTTCTGCTGCCCTTTTCCTCCAATTACTTTTCTCACAATTTTATTCCCAGAAAAAAGCCTGATGGTCTGATACCATAAAGACTATAAACTTTGATATAGTTTCATCGATGATGAACTGCGTAGCAGAAACTTATCCTCTGTTTTGTTAAATGGGTGTGCTAAAATGTGTAAAGTGATCAGGTCATTTGTTCATGGTTTCCTTACCATACTTTTCTAGTTTAGTTGTTGGATGGTTGTTGAAATGAATAACGCTTATAAAGCTGGGTTCGGTGTGTCTGTGTCGTCTTTTGTTGTTAGGTTTGCTGTTCATGTGGCACCATTTAGAGATAATGCTGAATGTTTGTTAGGGATGTTATGTTCTTATTTTTTAGTGTCTACTTTATTTTGTTTTGTTAGTGGTGGTATATGGAAGATGTGAAGAAAACCATGCCAGCTCTGCCCCATAAGCTGTGTTTGAGACGGGATTGGGGAATTAGAAATATTTGGCACTGGGGTTGGCAAGGGTCATAATGCAGCCCATATAATGGCTTTAGAGTGGGTTTTGAAACAAAAGAGAATATTGTTAGAAGTGGCTATTTTTTAAATTCAACGATAAAAAAAAATTAACAAACAACTATTTAATATTATTTAAATTGAAAAAAAGGTTTCAGAATCAAATAATAAATATTTTCAGAAAATGTATCAAACAATTATTCTATTTTAAAAACATTTTTTTATAAAAAATTTATTAAACAGCTATTTAATATTTTATCTAATTTTGATATAATTTTTAGATATTTTACTAAACACATTTTCAGATTCAAATTCAATTGGATTTGATTTAACTTAACTCAACTTAAAACACTTTTTCATAACAACATTTTCAAAAAGTGTGATAAACAATCCCTATGTTCATTTATAATTTTCTTAGTTCTCATTTTTCTGTAATATAGACTTAATTGGGCAGCAAGTAGCCAAATAGATAAAATATCTTGCCCAAATTCATTGAACTCTTTGAAGTGACATAAAGAAATAAAGTCCCATCAATTATTTTTGCACGGCAATTTGCCTAGAAATTCTACGAGTCAATTTAAGTTGGGACCAAAAGAAAGTCGCTTATTAAATTTTGCGCTAGTGTCGCTATTATTCTACTTCTTAGTTGATGATAAACAACATACTTTAATGCCCAATTATTCATATATAGTCAATTCTTAATGCATGTTTTCTAATGTTTTTAATATGACAGATTATAAGTCAACAACTAATCATTAGTTTCACAAAATGCAAAAATCAAAATCTAAAGATTAATATGTACATATATATCATACAATAACATTTGATTGTCTCATTGAAAATTTTAAAACATTCACATCCTATAGTTTCGTGAGTATAAATGCATACACTATCCAAAGATCGAAGGATAAATTCATCTTTTATAAACAAAGATGGAGAATTGTCATGAAATATATAAGAACTTTTTGCGTACATTTTATTAGATATATTAAAGATTAGTGGCACCACCACTGCTTCAAAGTTAAGAAAATTCAATCTCTTACAGAAAAGTGAATTAATTAGCATTGAAGACTTAGACGTTTAAAGTCTTTGTCGGATTGAGCATAGCTACGTGCAAATTTAGTTGGAAACTGTTGTGTTTATTACAAGATTCTGAAACCCAAGACACCTAATCTCACACAATTAATCAAGAATCAAACTGCAAAATTAAATAAGAAGACAATAATTTTTATCGTGGTTCACTTATCCAAATTGGATAAGTTACATCCACGTTGAGATCAAGATTCGTTACAAATACAGCTAGATTAAACTCAATCAAATCACTCACTCCTTGTAACCCTCTCAAAGACTCACCCGTAACCTATCCTATATGAAAATACTAACACAGATCCTCACAACCTGAAGGAAACACAATCCTCAAACACGATTACAACAATCGCACCAGATTACAAGTCTATGAGAAACAAGAAATCAGAAACCCTAACAAAGAAGAGCTCAATCGCAAAAACAAAGAGTGTAAAGGCTGTGTAATTTGACTGAAGGGCATTCTTTTATACTTGCATTGTTGGAGAACCTTGGCCGTCAAATTTAGCAAGCAATCAACGATCATGATCAATCTTGGAGCTTTATTATGAGATGGCATCGTTTAAGTAATGCCCAACGACATTGTTTTGTGCTTCATCATTCAACAGAAACTAAAAAGGTTTTTGGTTTGGTGGAATGAAAGAGGGAATGGGAATGGAATCCTATTTCCTTGTTTGGTTGGACAAAATCTAGATCAGATTTTTGATTTAGAGAATAAATCCAACAATACCTACATTAATTATCTATGAATATATATCTATAATCGTCTTTGGAGAGTGTTGGAGCTGGTCTCCACAAGTCAAAGAAAACTAATTCCAATAGAGAAGATATCTTAGATTGAGAGAGAGGAAATGAAGATTGATGCAGCTTATTACATTTACATGTTGATCAACGTGCAATATTGTGCACATAAAAGTACTTAAAAGAGTGAGGTAATTTAGTAACATGTTATAGAATTTGATTATTAGGGTGCTCAAGGCTGTGCCACAACAATATATCTTATTAAGGAATATTGGTATAAGTTACAGTGGTCGTGTACACAAAATTCTTAACAGAAGCATATGCACGTACACTTGTGAACTACAACAAGAAGAACCTTTCGAAGCCTTCTTACAGTAAGATGGAACGATAATACTAGTAATTGAAGATGAAACTTATCTTTTCTATAATCATTAGGAGGGAACATTCACTTGTGTGTGTTATATCTAGACATTCAACGTGCAACTTTTCAAGACTAAAGTTGAGATTATTGAGATCTGAGGTGAAATGACTTCTGGTGCTAGAATCTAAGTACTGTTGAGGATCAACAATTGAAATTGGTTGAGCAACGAAGGACATTGGATTTGTAGAAGAGGAGTCTAAATAGACGAACAGTTTCTCACCAATTGTTTCATTAAACAAAAATTATTTTAATTTTTCATTAAAACTGAAATTCAGTACATCAATTGATCTGGAACATGGATTAGTTGAAAATGTAAGAACAAAGGCTGATAATAAAATGTTGTCGTGTCTTTACGTAAAACTAATAGAATTTTTTACTTCCGTTAACTCCAACCTTAACTTCTGTTATAAGTCTAACAGCTCCTTTAACAGTTAGTTATTTCTCTTAAAAACTCTAGTACTTCAGTTTCTTCCTCTCTTTAATACTGAAATCAAAACCAACTCTGCAACATTAGCTACTTCATACAGTTTATCACCAAATATGATGTTGAATTGTTTTTACTGAAAAACATAAAATTAATTTTATGTTTTGATGACTAGTCACTTTATTACTAAATATTATCTGACTTTAATTGAAATCAAACAAGAAGAACGTTACAAAAGAACTGTAGATATTACTACAAGTAATCCTTTCTCATTTGTGCAGTCGAAATTGCTTTTAGAGTGATGAATAAGAGTATGATGGTCTGAGAAGGATAAAGTGAATTAACTTGGAGGTAGAAAAAAATAAAAGAGTCTCAGTGATAAGCTATAAAAGCAAATTTCCATGGATAAACAATAATTAGGGAGAGTTTGGAAAAGTATAAAAGCAAGTGACCTTGATGCCCTATGTAATGATCAAAGAGGCACACGCTAAACCAACATTCCAGATGCCCTATGTAATGATCAGAGAGGCACATGCTAAACCAACATGCAAGGTGTTGGGAACCTGTTAAGTGAAAACAGGTGAAGATGATTTTCCATCAAAAGAAATATGTGCTCCAAAATTAAATCCATGTAGAGAAACTAAACAATACCGGTTTGGTATCCGGAGTCATGTGTGTTGCAACATAACCTGATACATGTTTCTCGGTAAGGAATCTCTCGAATGTCGATGTCAACCTCGCTACCAGGGCTTCCATATGTACATTTGCTTGATTGCTTCAAATTTCTCCAACACCAGGTTTACCTCATTGTTAGCTGTCCTCCTCGCCTTATCATCCTGCTTATCACTGCCCTTCA